TTCTAAGACATTATTGCAGCCAGGATTTCTTCTGTTCATGGATTTGGGTCCTACAGAACAAAAAGACCTTAGTTTCTTTGGTGTGGAGGGAAAGGAAAGCAGGAATGTGAAAAGCTACAATGGAGCAGCACAAATTAAATAAACTACTCCATTCCCTCAAAAAACCACCTCCTCCCAAACAAGAACCAAAATCYTTGATCTAAAAGCCAAAGATGACCAAGTTACAAAGAAAATATTTCTAATTGCCTCCAGGTTCTCCGCACAAAAACTGATGGCAGAAAAATTYAGTTTTTCTTTCAAGTCCTCATGAGGAACCAATTCCTTATGGTTCGACCTACCTTTAGAAAGTAGTGTCAGGAAAAGTCTTAGCATCACTAGGACCARCTCACTGACCAGGCYTGYGGGGCCTGGGACCAGATGGTACCCAGAAAAACGACTTCAACAAACACCACCAACCACGTGCACAGGTCTGCACAGAAGAACCTTTGTGCCCTCTTCTACATCATAAGCATGTCGGTCACCATCACAGCTACCTCACAAGCAGAAATGCTCTTCTCCCTGCTTAAAACAATGGTTTAACTTCCTTTTGTTCCAGGCACTATCTTTACTAAACAGGATTCCCTAGAGTGCAGTRGGAGAGCTTTTGTGGTACAAATCTGGCATGTTTGAGTCCATACTTATTAACGGTGTCCGGTATAAGCTTTGAACCAGGAAGTCACCGAGGCTGCAGCAGAGGAGATCATCCCGCCAGCACTGCTGCTTGCAATGGGTGSGGACACCTGGGTGCTCTGGCTCTGGGAGACTTCCACAGGCTGGGAAGGGATATCACAGAACCGGGGGCTTGGCAWGTTCTCCCAGTCTGTGCCCAGATCAGTTTCCTCGTCACTTATGTGCTCATCTCCACTCTCATCTGATTCTCCAGCGACTCCAGGATCCACAAATTCCATGGACTCCTCAAGGTCTGCTCGCACTTCAAAAGGTCCCGACCTATGTGCACACAGTGAGGGACTACTTTTAGACAATCACCATTTCCAGGAGGTTAGATGTGGTCTTCCCTAAGACCCTACCCAACAGGACCAAGGGACCCAGAGCTCATCACCACACAGTTTCTTAAGTTGACACAGCACTCACAGCTGATCTATAACTATTTTTTTTTTTGGTTTTTTTGGTACCAGGAATTGAACCCAGGTGTGCTTAACCACTGAGCCACATCCCTAGCCCTTTTTTATACTTTATTTAGGGACAGGGTTTCAATAAGTTGCTGAGGCTACACAACTGTTTTCTTTACCCAAATGCCGACTGCCATCCAAGTAAGTAATAAAATCATAATACCCCACTTTTCCTCAATTCTACCTACTGTATTTATGTATTTCCTGGTTAGAAAGAAAACCCATCCATAGTCCATGCTGGGGGTCCAAACTATGGCTTCCAATTTTTAATAAGTGCACTATGCATGGTTGATACAATTCCGACAAAAATGGTCTCTTGATGCATTCTCTGGTATATTATTTAGTGGTATACAAAGGAAACTATACAGATAGTCCCTGCCTTATGGAAGCCCCAAATTATAAAATCTCTTAAGACTCAAAAAAGCTAAGTGGTGTGGTTGTCTACAGGTCAGCAGCTTCTCTGGGTTATGGTCAAGCTCCTGCACACATGAAAATATTGACTCATGATTTTCCAAAGACATGTTTGTTACACAGAACGACAAAAACTATCTAGAACATATTCATCTGCAGTGAGGCCTGCTTATATACGGCATTTCAGGAGAAAACTACTTCCCAAAGGCCCCTACCTTTCCTTAGGGCTCATCCTGCCCAGCTCCTCGGTGCCACACAGTAGGATGGACCTTTCTGCTTCTTGCCTCCCTTCAAATGTCTGTCATTTTGTGCTTTGGGGGCACTGGGCAGCCACCCCGTCCCATGATCCCTGGAGTCCACGGAAGAGCAGAACTGAGTCCCTCCAGTATCCCCTATCTTCCTACTATTGCCAATAAGCACAGGAGGCCTCAGTTCATTTAAGAGTTTCACTGATAATTACTTGGGGGGAAAATAATAGATTAACAAAAACAACCAATGAGAAATATCCAGCCATATTTTGTCTGTGGTCCAAAATTCTTTCCAGTCTGGAATGATAAAAGGGCTAGAGGTCTGTCTCCTGTGTACTGCACTAAAGCTACACCTTCTGGCTTACTTTCTCCAGGGTCCACACCTCTTATTCTTCTAAGACAACTTTGCTTCCCAGCTGGAATAGAGCAGCAACAGCTAACATTGATATTTCAGGTAATGTTTTTAGGACAACTATTCATTAAATACATATACCTGTAGGGTTTTTCTTCTTGGTCTCCTGTGAGCAACCTATGAAGAGCTCTTCAAAACAAGCTTTCTAGGTTTTCACCTGCCTGGAAGTCATTTTGCAAGGGCTGGAGGGAGTGACCAGAGGGAGGTTTCTTAAAACTTTCCCTGGCTGGGCATGGTGGTGCATACCTATAAACCCAGCAACTTGGGAGGCTGGGGAAGGAGGATCACAAGTTTGGGGCAAGACTCAGCAACTCAGTGAGACTCTGTCTCTGAATAAAATACAAAATAGGGCTGAGGATATGGCTCAAGGGACAACTTGTCCACGAGTTCAACCACCCCACCCCCCGCCGCCAAATAAAAAAATGAATGAATGAAAAAAGCTATGGTGGGGATGTGGTTAAATGCCAGAGTTCAATCCCTGGTATTCAAAAAAACATCTTTCCCTCACTAAATGAGCACTGAAGCTGGTACTTTAGCTTTGCAGATCTGTTTCCTTAAGGTTCTCCTTACACTCAAAACTCTTCTCCCTTCCCTTTTTCTTTGGTAAGCTATTCTCCTAAGTTCTACTCCCAAATATGCCATTGCTTGCCCAATCTCTCAGTCGGAGGGTAACTAATGGCTCAGACTCATCTTCTTAGGTATCTGAGCCAGTCAACCAATCTCAAAACAGGCCAGTTAGGACTTCTCCCCTCCTCTACATTCTCGAAGGTCTACTCTAGCTCAGGGCCTTACCCAATGACCTCCTATCTGCCTCATTCTGGAGAGCTACCTCCTCCTCATGGCATCTGCCTACTAAAAATGTTCACATTTTGAACACATTCTTGGGCTCCCCTACCCCCCTAGACACTAGACCTTGCCATCTAAGGGCCCATAGCATCCCTAGGCAGGAGCCAAAATTAACACTCTCCCATATCCTCTTCCTTCYAACTTTGGAGGCTCAGCCTATTCTCTGTTCTTCCTTGATGCTACCTTATCTACTCCTGAAGTCCTCTCAGCCTGGGATTGCCACTATCCCTAGATACCCTTTCACGGGTCCCAGGAGCCAGGCAAAAGTGACACAGGAGGAAAGGGCCCTTCTTCCAGGCAGAGTCTTTCCTGGGGGAGCCTAACTAGACTCCAGTTCTCTGCCTGGAATCCCCCAGGGCAGAGTCTTCTTGGCATGGAGCAAGTGCTCCAAGAAATACTTAAAATGATAAACAAATGGAAGATCCCTAAAGCAGCCAGTTTGGAATAATTTTGGTTCTCAGGAACCTATGTTCCTGAGAAGCCACAGGAGGAGGACCGAGCCCTTGCCTGCTTCTCTCCATTATTTCTGTGGCCTGACATCCCCTGAGCTGGAGGAGAACCAAGCAGTGAAAGAATGCATTCTTCTTCCCTTAATGTCTTAGGAAATAAAGATTATAGGATTGTTTAATTTGTAGTTTAGCTGAATAATTACTATGATTTTATTCAAGACCCTGAAGCCAGACTACTCATTTTATTATGATGCTGCTGTGGGGAGTTTTTCTATCAAGTAAGGTAACAAACTGACCTTTTTGGCTTTCTAAAAGTCTCCTATGCAAAACATCTTATTTGAAAATGATGTGTTAATGTAAGCACCACCACCATAAAGATGAGATCAGGGAAGATCCATTAACTGACACTTAAGTCCAGGGGGAAATTCTGGCAAGAAGTGTTTCCCCCACAGAATGCTTATTAGCTGCAAGGAAGGAAAAACATAGAAGTGCACAGTGGGGAACTGGAAAGCATCTTGACTGGGCATCGAGTGAGTATCCCCAGCCAGGAGCAGGTGGATGCTGCCTACTGATGCGATGTCCTGAAGGAGACACCCACTCAGGCAGAATGGCAGCCCCACATCTGATTTTGAGAAAACATCAGGAAACCCCCAAATGAAAGTTCTATTAAAAAGTGGTGGGGGACTCTGTTTAACCATAGGTGAATCTGGGTAAACAGCATATGAGTCTGTGCTATTTTTGTTTTTGCAAATTTTGCAAGTTTGAATTCATTCTAAGACAAGTTTAATTCTTGATTCAGAAGAGGATCCTTGGTTCTGCCAAGTGCATGGAAACAGGAAGTCCCAACCAGGCTCTGTCCACATTCCTGTAGGCCTTCATTCCAACTGGGAACTTCAGTAGCTCTATCTTGACCATGGGTTCAGGCTGTGTGAACTCAGATACGACCGTCAGCCAGATGTTTGTCCTTTTGCAGGGCATAGCCCTCTAAATGGAAGAGGTGACTGAAAGGTAAGCCTATAGGAGACTTTGGACCCTCCAAAGTAACCATGGGTGGGAGTATGCCTGCCTGCTTCCTAACAGTTCCCATGTTGAATATCATTAGTTCTTTCCGTCTTCTCAAATGATGGTTGAAATATGGAAACATATTTTGAATTTGCATTTATTTTTTATTTTTTGCAGTACTGGTTATTGAACTTAGAGTTGTTCTATACACTGAGTTACAGCCCCAGCCCTTTTTAAAATTTTGAGATAGGGTCTTGTAAATTGCCCAGACTGGCTTCCAACTTGTGATTCTCCTTGCTCAGCCTCCTAAATTACAGAGTTTACAGGCATGCGCCACCGCGCATCACTAGCATTTCTTTATTCTTGATTAAGGCTGAAAACTTTTTTTGTTACATCTCTCTTGTGTAACCCTTTGAATTCTTTGTCTATTTTTCCTATTTGGTTGTTTATCTTTCTTTTATTGGTCTGTAATCTAGATTTAATCTGCTGCCTATTACACAGGTTGCAAGTGTAAAAGACACTGGTCTTTTAACTTTGTTAATGATATCTCTTTTACTAAACCTTTACTTTTTAGTGAACATTTAGTCAAACTCCTTTCCTTTACATTTTGGGTTTTGTGGCTTGCTTGGGAATTCTCACCCCACCCTATGATTATGGAACATTGTCCTTTCTAGTTTTTTTTTTTTAAATAACATCTTTTATATCATCTGGAATTTATTTCTGTATATGGAATGTGGTATGAATCCAACTTTTTCCCCAGTTGAATACCAACTGACCCAATACTATATCTGATTCAACTTGCCACCCCTATTTTATATATATTACACATATATAAAGATCTGTTTGGAGACTCTTCATTCTAACTGCTATACCCTTTTGCATGCTAACACCACCTTGTTTTGATTAGCTTTATATTATGTTTTCAAAGGGGACAAGCCCATCCCTTTGAATTTTTTTTCCCAAATTTCCTTGCAGAGTATGATTCCAGCTGAACTTTAGAATGAGCTGGTCAAACTCCATGAAATATCTGTTGAAATGCTAATCAGTTTTCCTTTTGGGAAGAAGTGGCATTTCTGCAATTCTGAGCCTTTCTATCCCCCCAAAAAATCATAAGGGATATCACTGCCTCAGCCCTTCTTTTGTTCAGTCCCACTCCTCATACTGCCTAGCGGGCAGTCAGGAAACACACTGAGTAAAAAGTTATTCATTTTCTTTAAACACATGCTAAGGGCTGGGGATGTGGCTCAAGCGGTAGCGCGCTCGCCTGGCATGCATGTGGCCTGGGTTCAATCCTCAGCACCACATACAAACAAAGGTGTTGTGTCTGCCGAAATCTAAAAAATAAATATTTAAAAAATTCTCTCTCTCTCCCTCTCTTTCTAAAAAATAAATAAATAAATAAATAAACAAACACATGCTCAACTTACAATGGAGTCATACCCCAATAAATCCATAAGCTAAAAATACTGAGTTAAAAATGCATTTAATATACCTAATCTTCTAAACAGCATAGCTTAGTCTAGCCTATATTAAACACTCAAAGCACTTATATTAGCCTACAATTGTACAAAATCATCTACCACAAATCCTATTTTTCTTTGAGCTGTCTTTCAAAAGTGTGAATACATTAGCCATAGCCCATCTCAGCAGAAATGTATACTGCTAGAGCAAGGAAAAAAGGGTATGAACCTAGAGCAGGGGTAGCAAAGATGAGCCTCATCTAATTCAAGCTTTTCCAGACTGAGAGACTTGGTCCTTGGAAAGCACAAGGTGGGCCTATCCCAGGAATATTTGGGTTCTTCTACTGCATTTTAGGTGATACATATGTTTGATGCTAATTTTCTCTGAATAATAGTGCAAGAGGACCATAAAAGTTCAAAGATGATAGCTATTGTTTCATTCAGTGAAGAACTATACACTTTTTGTCTTTTTTGGAAGACTGGGGACTGGAGAACAGGGAGTACTCTGCCAGTTCACATGATACCTCTACTTCAATGTAGTCATAAAAACATACCTGAAGAAAAGCAACACGCACTCTTCTTACCTGCCCAGGTGTTCCGAGTTTGAACTGACCAGGTACATTAAATTCCTGAGGGTATGCAGTGGTTGTAACTGATCTAAATTTACATGCTGAGAAAAACAAAGGTAAAGGATATTTGTATTGAGTTTCTTCACAGCTCGAGTAAATTTCTGTTTGCTGAGATTTTCTCCACAAAACTCACTGTTAAAAAACAATTTGTAAATTATTTTTCTGAGGAAATTCTATGTTCAAGTGTTCATTTTGAAGAGTTCAATATAGCACATACTGTGTCCTTAGCCTCTTTAGTAAATTGCCATTAACAGAAACTTTCTAAGAATAAAGTACCGTCCTCGTAAATAGCAATTTCTCTACATCCACACAAAATTACAAATGTGTGGACCCTTTGATCAAGTAATTCTATTTCAGGAATTCATTCTATGCAAATACTTGCACACTCAGGAAATGGCAAATGTACGAGATTATTCCTTGAAGCATTATTTAACAGGGGACTGGTATGTTAGGACCTTGGTATATGCAGAGAAGGGAAAACTTGGCAACTGCCAACTTATGCAGAACGACAGCCCAAAGCTTACAATAGCTCCCCAATGCTCTCTGCTTCCATTGCTCTTAACACTTGTGCCTCCCAGGGCTTTGCACCTGCCATCTCTACCTCAGCATTTTTCCTTAGGGGTCCCCATGGCATGTTCCTTTCCTCCCTTACACTCACATGTGCCAACATCCCTGCCCACTCAAATGCAGAAAGCCCTTCCCTGCGGCCACATCTCCTCTCTCATCCTGTTTCATTGTTCTCCACAGCATGTATCACCACCTCACACACTGTTTATTATTGATGCCATTCATTAAAATGTAAGCTCCAAGAGGGTAGGGACTGTTTTTGTCTTCAAGGTACTCCAGTGCCCAGTGTCTGCACACAATAGGTGTTCAATAATTATGTGTTACATAAATAAAAACATATAAATGCAAAACACTTTGGCATGCTATCTTTGTGTTTATGGAGAGATAGTAATAAGAAGTTTACATCTGCTTGAAATGAAATATGAGGGCAATTACCTGGAGGATGGGAGGAAGATATTAAAGGGAACTGGGTAAACTGTATCTTAAAATACTTAAAATTTTAATTTTTTTCTTTTCTTAAAAAGAAATACAAAATCAAAAGCTCCCAACTTTTACAATTTATCCATCTCTTATATATACATATATATGAGGATCTCAGCATATCTTGTGAATATCCTGATTTTTCCTTTTGTTATTTTTTCAAGTGGAACAATTCTCTGTGGTCTTCTCAGACTTCATGTGCAGTTGTCAAACAAATTTGTATACAGATTTTTAAATTAATCAGAAACTCTAGAGAGCCACAGTAAGGATAAGATCACCACCTTCAATTACTTGCCTGTTGCACAGCTTCTTAGGAAGATTGACATCAAGTATATGAGACAAAATGTTGACCAGCTGTGTGGCATAATACAAGGCAGCACTAATGGTGTGTGCAGGGTTATTATGCTCCATGTCTAAAGGACAAAAGCAAGACTTATTTATACAACAACTTTAATCTCAATAAAAATATTCAATGGTCGAGATTTTATGATCTGTAATTTTACCATCACCTCACTGTTAACTTTTTACTTCCTACTCCATGGCCAGACATAAATGGTTCATTTTTATTGTTTGCTGAATGAAATGCAACATAAGCAAAAGAGTATAACAGGCCAGACATAAATAAAATTAAAGTCTAATTTGCTTGGACATGATAATTTTGTTATCACCCAAACAATCCCAACTTAAATGTCACCCCAGAGAGGCCTTTCCTTTATATGTACCCCCATGCTGTTGGCTCCTGATGGCACCCTCTCAGTGTATGGTGCCACTGACCATTCATGTATGCTTGAGTACCTAAATGAATTATAGCTGGAGGAAAAAAACCATTTTCTGTCTCCCCAGAGAAGGGCAAAGGGCCACACCTGTCTTAGTCACCTTTTATCACTAGTAATTGGCACCGTGCATGACATAGCCCTTCCTCACTAAATGTGAGCTGAATGAATAAATGAACAATTCTCACCAGATATAAGGTGCAGGATTTTTCAAACCATTAGGAATATTTCAATTTCCATTTAGGACTACTAAAACAAACATGGTACGAAGTGATAACTAAAAATGAAACTTAATAGGCTAAATATACTTCTTAAAAATAAGGTCTTTTATATAAATAAATCAAGCAACATTAACCCCCAAAAGTAAAATATTTAAAAACAGACACGCTTTCAAACTAAATAAACAAAATGTGGTTTAGCCATACAATGGATTATTTTGCCATAAAAAAGCAGTGGAGTACTGATATATACCTTAATGTGAACCTTAAGACAGGAAGCTAAGAGAAAGCAGTGGACACAAAGGCCATACATTCTATGATTCTGTTTATGAGCTGTCCTGCACAGGCTGTCTATAGGTAGAAAGTAAATTAGTGGTGGTCTAGAGCTGGGGGGGAGGAGGAGGGGGAGTGATATCTTCATGCCATGGAGTGAGTTTGCGGTAACGGAAATGTTTTAAGATCTAAACAGAAATGCTAGTGCCACAATGGTGTGTGTACTAAATGCCACTGAACTGTTCACTTTAAAATTATGTAAATTTTACACCAATTAAGATACACACAAATTTTCAAAGATATTTCGTTTCTCACCGGGCCCCTGTGTTGTTTTCTTCTCTTCCACCCAATTGTAGTAGGCAGAGTAGTCCCCATTGTTAGGAAGGCAAATCCACTGCCCTGTAATGCTAATGCTGGTGTCGCCATTGTGATCATCACAGACCCATCTTCCAGAAAGGTAAGTTGTCCTCCGGGCTTCAGCAAGCTTGCTGACAGTGCTGGAGGTCATGGCACTGTCGCTCTCAGAAGACACATCTGCAGGATCTCTGAAAATCAGGAGACACATGGATTTCAAGAGATAGGGTTTCTGAGGGCAGGCAATACACTTGTCACACACAGCAGAATACTGAAGAGTTGCCTGTAAGCACAGGACTTCAACTGAAATACAGACAAGTATTTACCATCAGAGAAGATGATCAAAGTGACATAGAAGGTCACACAATGTGAGAAAGATGGCACTGTGAGCTAGGGTCCGACATTCAGTTCTCAACGTATGTGGCTCCAACACCCCTTCAAATGCTTACAAACTTTTAGGATCTCAAATAAATTTTGCTTATCTGGGTTGGAATACAGATACTTAATTGTATTTGACATTAAAAATGAGTAAAGTTTTAAGTTAGTTCATTAAAAAGTAGTACGCCCAGTGACAACAAAGCTGACACACACTGGGAAATACTAAATGCTCAATAAATACTTGCTGGATTAATGTTTGCTTGAACACCTAAATGAATTATAGCTGGGGGAAAAAACCATTAGATGTTAGCAGTTTTATGTAAAAAAAATATTTTTCAAAACAAAAAATTAGTAGTTATATTGTTTCTTTTCTTTCTTTTCTTTTCTTTTTTTTTTTTTTTTTTGTGGTGCTGGGGATTGAATCCATGGCCTTGTGCATCAAGGCAAACACTCTACCAATGGAGCTATATCCCCAGTCCTATCTCACCCTTTTGAAAAATCTCTTTTAATATTCAAGACTTTCTGTTGTTCTTTCAAGTAAAAATAGTATCCCAAGAAAGAAGCAACTCACTCAAGTGCTTTCCCCTGAGCTAACTCTTAGTTCCTCAGTATGCAGCTAGAGTGCTTTATGCACACTTCCCATTTCATCCTACTGGACATTAACAAGATGTGCACTAAAAGGTCAAGATATGATAACATTAATAATTTTCACTGTTGCACTGAAGACATTAGGTAAAACTACCTGTTTTTAATAACTGCAAGTATACAGTAGACTATAATGACTATTACTACAGTTTAGTGTTCCTGCCAGAGGTATTCACACCCACCATGGCTTTTGAGCCACCAGTACAAATGCCAACACAGTGCAAAAGGAAAACTTATTAGTATTACTATAAAGGCAGTTTTGACATAGCACAGACTCCCTTCAGCGTCTTAGATCTGCAGAGGTCCATGTACCACCTTTTAAGAATTGCTAGCCTAAAGCGTGGAACAGAAATCAACCATAAGAAGGACAGCAGGTACAAATGCAAAGAGGGCAAAGAAACAGTGTGCTTCGGGAACAGAGCTGTTTGGACTGGTTGGTGTATAAGATGCAAAAAGAAAGTGCTAAAAGATAGTGTAGGAAAAGCAATTAGCAGCCTGAGAAGGGCCTCCAGAGCCAACATTCTGTCCTTGTGGCCAGTGGTTCTCAATCTCTTTTCCTTCTGTGTAACATACCACCACCAGGTTAACTCCTGCTGCTATCACAGATGAGACTAGGGGCTGGGATACTGTGGCCAGATCTAAACTATACTTCTAACTCTTTCTACTCCATTCAAAGAAGTATAGAGAAATACAAATGAATGAAAATCTTATTTATGGATGGATAACTTCAAAATAACCAGCTTAAATATCATAGGTACATTAAATATAATAAACAGTAAAAATATTACACCTGCAAAATACACAGTTTAAAAAATGATTATAAACCAGCATAGGCACAGAAGAGAAAATTCTTTACCATGTTTTCTCTTCTAGTACACAATACAGTCATGTCACTCAGCAAAGGGGATATGTTTTGAGAAATCTATCACTAGGCAATTTCATCACTATGCAAACATCAAAGAATGTACTTCACAAATTAAGACAGTACAACATCAATAGGTGACATAATCTTATGGGACCACTGTTGGATATGTAATCTGTTGACTGAAGAGTCATTATGTGACATATAACATGTTTTCTTCTTGAGGAAATTTCTCTTATGGGAAAGTTGCAAGAATTTTTAAGTTTTTCTGCATACATTTCACTCAACTTCTCCAAATTATCAACCCAGGAAAATACAATAATCAAAACTAGGTAATTAACACTGCTACTATACTATGAACTCATCTTACAGACTACTCAACTCTGTAGCTCTGATTAGCCTTTTGATAGCATTTTGTGGGCCCAGGATACAATATGGGATCACACACTGCATTCAGTTGTTGGTCTCCTAAAATCTGGAACAGGGCCTTAGTTTTTTTTCTATTGTGACATGTTTTAACGCTAATATTGTTGACCTATCAGAATTTCATTTGGCATAAGGTTCTAGTTAGCCAGCTTCTACCTCTCAAAGGCTTAGCCAGCTGTCCTTATATCAATTTTTGGACAATCCAACTTCTCCCCACTGATCTAAGTTGTCCTGGTAGAGTTTGCTTCTGAACTTCCTATTCTGCTCTATTTAAAATCTGTGCTTTTATTTTTCTATTTGTTAACTCTTACTAATAACAAATTACCTGGAAGCAAATATCAGACCTCTGGGTTTTTTGGAAGCCAATTATGGCAACAGACCAAAGGCCAGGCTGCAGTATAGGCAAGAAAGGTTGCTTTCACTGCCTGATTCCTCAATGCTGGAGACCGAGGAGCCAAAATAGACAGAATATCCTCAACTGGAAATAGCCAGAGCACACAAGAGCCTTCAGTGGTTGTTTCCAAAGCTGCTGATCATCAGCAGCATCTACAGACGTATTCTGAGATGGATTGGGAGGCTGGTGGAGTGTCCTCTGGAACCTTAGTTTTCAAAAGCCCATGGGTGATTTGGATGAAGAACCAGGTGGGGGACCACTGTCTGTCCATCCCTAATTTCTGTGGATCCCYGTGCATTTGTGCCTGAGACTAAAATCACAGCATTCAACTGACAACAGCTAATATAATAAAAGCCAGTTACCAGGAAAAGGTGAAGTCAACATGTGTACCCACCATCTAAGAGAACYAGCACTAGGTGTTTTCCTACATATCAGGTCATGATTTCTCTGCAAAGTAGGGATTTTTCCATCCCTACTTAAATACGTAGGAAAATCAGACTTGGATGATGTTCAAGAACATGTCCCAGAGCAAACAACTAATGGTCTGGCTGGGAATGCAACTGACATGACCCGGCAGGTAGGTCTTAACCAGGAGGGTGAGTCACATATAACCTCTATGAGAGCACATATGTGGACCATGCCCCTCACCCTGGCTGTCTCCCCAACTTCGCACAGTGTACTGTTTGCTGAAGCAGATAAGACTTAAAATTCATTATCAGGAAAACCAATGAGCCTAGAATGACACTTAATATATGCTTGAAAAACAATATTTGGAACTTGAAAAACAATATTTGGAGCACCTATTCCTAGAATCAAAAGCCTTGCTTATTGTACCTCACACCAGTCTTTACTTCATCAATTGGAAAAATGACAGAGGTGAGCTCTAATATATGGGATCGCCGAAGACTTGCCAGACGCTCATAATGACTTCTTAAGTCATTGGTTTTTTTTTCTACCAGGTCACCAAGTTTGCGATTGTGCCTCTGAATCTTCTCCTTTTTCTCTTGGTGCCGTTGTGCTCGACTATACAGCTTCTGGTTCTTTTCCTTGGTTTTCAGAAGGCCTTCAGAATCTAAAATGTATAAACACCACACAATTACCTCTGCAAACAGTTCCTGTGTGCTGCAGTATCTGTGTGTGCATTAAGTATCTTTCTGAGGACCTCTCAGCCTACCTATTCAGTTGCAGGTATGAGATTTCCTTCTAATGGTTTTACTCTTCCTTAGATGCATCTCTTTACCATTTCTACTCAATGAGAACGTCTTAAAGATTCAGTCTCATGCAACAAGTTTATCCCTTTTCATGATCTCTACTGAGCTTTTACAGGTGTTCAAAGGAGTATGTTCAGCCATGGTGCTAAGTCAAGACTTTTGGGGACGGTTTCAAATCTAATATTATAAACCTTCACAGGTGGCAAGAAATCACCATGGTCACCACATCTGCAACCAGTGCAGATCCAGAACATAGAGCTATCCTTTTCATCTCCCTCAAAATGGCAAAACTTTTTTTTTTCCTTTTAGGTATTAGAGATTAAACACAGGAGTGTTTTAACCAATGAGCTATATCCTTTTTTATTTTGAGACTGGGACTTATTACATAAGTCTAACTTGTCCAAGCTGGCCTTGAACCTGCTATCTTCTTGTCTTAGCCTCCTGAGTCACTGGATTACAGGCATATGCCACTAAGCCCAGCAAAATGTGAAAACATTCTATCATCTAATCTTGCATCTTTAAATAAGTAACTGATTGCAGCACAGATAAACTCAACCCTGCAACTGTTATATAATTTAACTTCCTTATCTATGCCAGATATATTTAACTATATTGTGAAACTCTAAAACTGAAAAATTGTGAAGTGAGTCATCAGGCTTTGTAGTTTATCATCTGTGCCCTTTCTTTCATACCTGTGATAGTCCAACATCACAGGTTAAAAACAGAGAGACTACTGGGTGGCATGGTCTTAATTCATGAGCTGAGACCAAGATCACTTCTGGAATCAACTCCTTCAAAATTTTTCACAAAATTGTGAGAGTATGGCCTAGAAGGTGGGAATAAGACCTCATTTACAGAGCAACAGTTCCCTACCCTGGCAGGCAGCCGTACTACTCAAAATGAGGCTCATGGATCTGGGATGGCCTGAAAACTGTTGCCAATCATGGCAAGAGAACAGGCCTTGCTGGTGTACTTGGCCCTGGGTTCCATCCCTAATACCCATGGCGGGTGAGGGAAGTACATAAATTCAGAATAATCATGTAGAATCATTTTTCTTCAACAGGGCAACACAATATTGCCACAACRTTCAAATGTGTGATCATTTTTCTAAGTCTAGGGGGATCCCAGGATTTTCTCTCTATAGTTTAACATAGTTACCAGGTGACTGACAATTTGCTAGAAACAGAAACCATTGTCACAGACTGCACTGCTTTACAACCATGTTTTTTATTTTCTGTGGCGGGTGTTTTTGTTTTGGGGTTTAGGAACCTGCTAAAAAGAGCTGACCAAAGCTTTCAACTTGCTTATCAGAGAAATGTGCATGCTCAGTACATTCTACACTTCACAAATAACTTCACAAACAGATGGCTGGTGGCAAACCCTAGTCTGAACACCATGGGAGGACGGGGTAAAAAGGCAAACTAATGTTAAGTAATGAGTGCCTATGCTGCTATGGAACCCAAAACKTGGAGGAATGCAAGCCAAATGCAGTGGATCACTGGCTGGCTGTAGCTCTGAGCACCACTCGCTCCATGCTGCCCTGCTTCTCTAGCTTGCAACTCTACACAAGTTCTTTATTAGAAYGTTTTCAAAGGAAGTTTTTACTCCWTTACATGCCACTATAAAATACTTTGATGCTTCTGAAAGCAACAAAGACAAAGGAATTCACAAGGTAGAAGGTGACTCATTCTAAACTTTAAAACATTCATCTTCAAAAATGCATGTTTCTAAGGATGTAGGATTGCTAAAAGTACTCAAATTTTGACAACCACTTAAGAATGAAGTATTCAAATGTAATGTAAAATCTGTACAAATTAAAATATGTAGGAGATTCACTAAGAGGAAAAAGTCAGTATACTGTGCTTCTGGCATGAGCTAATGATTATTATAAGTGAATACCAAGTTAGACCAAGTTTCCTATTAACTAAGGAATTAAGAAGTATTTGCTCCCATTTTCTTTTTCATTTTGTGATGCTGGGGGTCAAAYCAAGAGCAAAGCATGTGCTCTACCACTGAACTACATGCTTGGCCCTTCCTTTTTGTTCTCCTTTCCCTTTTGTGGTACTAGGTATTGAACCCAGGAGCCACTACCACTAAGCTACTACTAAGCTCCCTAGTTGTTGTTRTTSTTCTTCTTCATTGTTGYCGTTGTCGTCATCATTGTCGTCATCATCATCATCATATTATTATTATTATACTGGGGATTAAATTCAGAGGTGCTTTTTAAAAAAATTTTWTTTAGTTGTAGATGGACACAATATCTTTATTTTTATGTGGTGCTGAGGACTGAACCAAGTGCCTCACATGTGCTAGGCAAGAACTCATCACTGAGCCACAACCTCAGCCCCAGAGGTGCTTTTAACAACTACATCCCTGGCCCTTTGTTTATTTTGAGACACGGTCTCACTAAGTTGCCTAGGGTCTAATTTTCTGAGGCTGGCCTCAAACTTGCAATCCTCTTATCTCCGCATCCCTAGTCACTGGGATTACAGACATGCCACTCACTGCACACAGATTATTTTTTATTTTATTTTAATTAATTTATTTAATTTATTTTTTGGTAATAAGAATTGAAATTCAGAGCACTTAACCACTGAGCCACATCCTCAGCCCTTTTTATTTTGAGACAGGGCCTTGCTAATTTGCTGAGGTCAGTTTTGAACTTGCAATCCTCCTGCCTTGGCCTATGGAGTTGCTGGGATTATGGCATATGCCATCATGCCCAGGTGAGCACTTCCTTAACTTTAAAAGGGAAGAATAGCAGCTTCCTGAAGGACTCTAAATGGTATGTTTATATAATTCCTTATACGAATGTCTTATAAAAAGAAGGGAATGCAAGTACAGGTTGAACATACCTGATAAGAAGAAAATTTGAAATTAAAAAATACACTACAAATCCAAGACTTTTTGAGAATCAATACCATGCCACAAAAAGAAAATTCCACACCTGACCTAATGAGACAAGTCACAGCCAAAAGACAAACACATTAAAAATAATGCATAAAATTATCTCTACACTATGTGTATAAGGTATATACGCAACAAAGAAATTTTTTGTTTAGACATGGGATGCAGTCCCAAGATATCTCATTAATGTAAATGCAAAAATTTAAAAAAAAATCGGAAATCTGAAACACTTCTAGTCCTGAGCATTACAGGTATGAGATGCTCAACTTGTAAATTTTTCCAAGTGGACAYTGCTGTTATCCTGTCTCTCTTTTGCCATCCCTTTAGTTTATTAATCCCATGAAATTCCACATAAGCCCTTTACTTGGACTGGATAGAAGGGGGGAAATTACTTACTTTTCTTCATTTCTTCATTTCCTTTACATATGGTTTGTTTTAGCTGTTCAATCCTCATCTTACAAGACATTATTTTCCATCTCTGGAAAAAGGCATATATCAAACATTAATCTCTTATGATTAATATGATTATCTAGGATCACTACTTATTTTCATGCATATATTAGAAAACATAATAAAATGAGCAATATAATCATATCTAGTATAGGTATCGTAACTATGGTAGATTACAAAAAAGAAAACATTTTTCTGGTTCAATGCAAAAGCTGCTAGGAGATTGAGAAAGAAATTCACAAAGTTCTTTTCCATGTGTCAATGAGCAAAAAGAAAAATGTTGAAAATTCTTAACTTGCTCTATCCAGTATACAGCTAGCTCCTAGTCACATGMGGCTATTTAAAACTCAATTAAAATTACATCAAAGAAAAATACATCAGTTTCTTACTTAGTCTACCCACGTGTCAAAAGGTCAACACCACACACAGCTAGTGCTATCATTTTGGAGGGTGGAGACAAAGGATATTTGCATCATTACAAAAAGTCTTATTAATGTACTGATCTACACTTTGAGTGATGGTTACTAAGACACTTTTAACATTACTGTATGATCTCACACAGTAAGTAAATTATTCCTATGCAGGGCATAGAAATAAAAACTGCACTGAAACCAGTTTTATTTTTAAAGTGTATAACAAGTAACAATTTTCTGAAATGCTCAGAAAATTATGTGAAACATGAAATTGACTATTTATTTATTTTTTGACACCAGGGATTGAATCCAAGGGCATTTTACCAATGAGCCACATCCCAGCATTTTTAAAAATTTTGAACTGGGTCTTGCTAAGTTGCTGAGGCTAGCCTTGAACTTGCGACCCTCCTGCCTCAATCTTTCAAATTACTGGGATTACAGGTATGTGCCACTGTGCCCAGTGAAATTACCTTCTTATATCATCAGGAATGGCACAGCCAGGTAATAGCTACCCCTAACATGAATAAAAGATTAAAAAAAAAAAAAGGGACCATACTTTAAGTTAAACAGTATGATTACTTTCTAATACGTCCATAAATATGGACACTTAAAAGCTTACAACAATGTTCCAATGTGTACAGCATTAACACTTATCTAAGTAGTCTATGGCAAAAGACACAAAACAGGCTGTAGGGAAGTGACAGAGGGAGAACTTTTATTCTCTCCAATGAACCCAAAGAGACATTCAAGATCAGATTCAGCTGGGTGCAGTGGCTCACACCTGTAATCCCAGCAGTTTAGGAGGCTGAGACAAGAGGATCTAAGTTAGAGGCAATCTCCAGCAACTTAGAAAGGCTCTATGTAACTTAGCGAGACCCTGTCTCAAAGCAAAAAAAARGGGGGGTGGGGGATGTGTCAGGGTAGTTAAGCAACTCCAAAAAAAAGAATGSACTCAGAGGAACTGACAAGTTCAGAAATAAATTGGAAATGAGTTATCTTCATTGCTGCTGTGTGTGTGTTTGGAGGGGGGTTGCTGGGGATCAAACCCAGGTGCACATGCTAGGCAAGTATTCTACCACTGAGCTACACCCCTAGCCCTGAAAGATTTTCATTCTAAAAGGTAGTGGTTTTTAAGAATCAATACTGACTAGAAATTCTAGCCAGAGTAATTAGGCAAGAGAAGGAAAATATAAGGGATAAAAATAGGCAAGGAAGAAACCAAATTATCACTGTTTACAGATGATCTGAAACTAGAAGATCCAAAACACTCCACCCAAGCCTGMTATAGCTAACAAACAAATTTGGCAAAGTAGCAGGTTACAAAATCAACAGCTTTCCTATACACCAATCATGACTCTGCTGAAAAAAAAAAATCAGGAAAACAACTCTATTCACAATAGCCTCAAAAGAAAAAAAAAATCTCAGGAATAAATCTAACCAAGGAGATGAAAGACCTCTATCCACAATGAAACTACTCTACAGAATATTGAAGAAAAATATTGAAGACCTCAGAAAATGAAAAGACTTCCCATATTCATGGATGGGCATAATTAATATTGTTAAAAAATGTCCATACTATAAAAAGCAACATTCAGATTCAATGCAATCTCCCTTAAAATATCAATGACATTCTTCACAGTACTAGAAAAAACAGTCCTAAAATTCATTTTGAAGAATAAAAGACTCAGAATAGCCAAAGCAATTCTAACCAAAACAGCATTGCTGGAGGTATCACAATATCTAACTTCAAATTATACTCAGAGCTATAGTAACAAAAACTGCATGGTACTGGCATGAAAACAGAAACATAGATCAATGGTRCAGAAGAGAAGACACGGAGACAAATCCCACATCTACAGTCATTTGTTCTTTGACAAAAGTGSCAAAAATAAATTGAAGAAAAGATAACCTTTTCAAAAATGGTGCTGCGAAAACTGGTTATCCATATGTACAAGAATGAAGCTATACCCTTGTATTTTACCCTCCACAAAAATCAACTCAAAATGGATCAAAGACCTCAAAATTAGACCAGAAACAATGCAACTTCTAGGAAAAAACATAGGGTCAACACTCCAGTATATAGGTACAAGCAATGACCTTCTCAATAGGACCCCTAAAGCTCAGGAAATAATGCCAAGAGTTAATAAGTGGGACGACATCAAATTAAAAAGCTTCTGCACAGCAAAACAAACAAACAAATAAATAATTGAAATGCAAAGAGAGAACCTACAAAATGGGAGAAAAATCTTTGCTAGTCCTTCTTCTGAGAGGATTAATATCTAGAATATACAAACACAAACACACACACACACACACACACACACACACACACACACAAAGCAAGTAACCCAATTAATAAATGGACAATGAATTAAACAAACACTTCTCAAAAGAAATACAGTCAACACGTATATGGAAAAATGTTCAATATTATCAGCAATTAGGAAAATGCAAACCAAAACTACACTGAGATTTCACATACTAATAGCAATCAAGAATACAAACAATAAATGCTGGAAAGGATGTGGAGAAAAAGAAACATTTTTACACTGTTAGTGGAACTGTAAATCAGTACAACTGCTATGAAAATCAGTCCTTTGAGGAGGTTCCTCAAAGGACTAGGCATGGAACCACCATGTGACCCAGCTACCCCACTTCTGTATTWATCCTAAAGAATTCAAGTCATCATACTACAGTGACACATGCACACCCATGTTTATAGCAGTACAATTCACAATAGCCAAACTACGGAACCAGCCTAGGTGTCCATCAATGGATGAATAAAGAAAATGTGGTTTTATAAACACAATGGAGTTTTATTACTGGTCAAATTATGTTGTTATATCATGTACATGTACAAAAGTACAACAAATCCCATCATGTACAACTAGAATGCAAATATTTAAAAAAATGTAAAAAATGGCAATATTGAAGTTTTTGAAAAGAAAAATAGAGAATTTAGAAAAATTTCTCACAGATTTTTGTTTACTCACTTCATTCACAGCATAAGCAATATTCACCTTTATTATAAATATTCTTTGTAAAAAACTATGCATGTGTAAAAAAGTATGCATCATAAAAAAATTATGATGATTATTGTATGAGGTGTGGGAGAATCAAACATTGCAGAAGGAAAAAAAAGAAATGTGACTGTTAGCCTGTTTCCTCTTCAGTAGTGGAATCTCTGTGTTCATGTATGTGTATGCTGTGCTCGGACCTAGGGCCTCTTGAATGCTAAGCATGCACTCCTCCGCTAAGCTCAGCTCCCAACCTCAAAAGGCCATCTCCAAAATTTAAGTTTGATGAGTATTTTTTCTTTTTAGAGAATATTTACATCTAAAATACACTCGAAACAACAACAAAATAAAATACCCACAACAAATGGAATCATACTTTAGCTTCACCTTCCATTTTCATTAAAAAAAATGTGTCTTGGGCTGGGGATGTGGCTCAAGCGGTAGCGCGCTCGCCTGGCATGCATGTGGCCCGGGTTCGATCCTCAGCACCACATACAAACAAATATGTTGTGTCCGCCGAAAACTAAAAAATAAATATTAAAAAAATCTTCTCTCTCTCTCTAAAAAAAAAAAATGTGTCTTGGGGGCTGGGGTTGTGGCTCAGTGGTAGAGTGCTTGCCTAGTACATGTAAGACACTGGGTTCACATCTCAGCACCACACAAAAATAAATAAAGGTAGAAAAAAAGATGCTGTAAAAAAAATGTCTTGGACATACTTCCATACTGACACATGTAAATCAATCACTTTTTAAAAAAAAATCTTAAAAATTTAATTGACATGGTAATTGTATAAATTTATGGGGTTGAGTGAAAGTGACCTTTCAATACAGAAATACAAAGACCATTTTTTTTTCCAACACCTTCTTACTTTGATAGCTTTTTATCTCCTACTGATGCATGAACATTTAGAGTATTCACACATTAACTTTACCACCAGGGATGCGGATAGCCTGCTTCTTTATCCATAAATCTATGCCTTTAGGTGCATTTCCTTGGGAGGAAAATGGCTGGATATATGATATGTGCTCTTTAAAAACCGCCACAAAACTGTCCCCAAATCAAATGTGCTCATGGATACTCCCACCAACGTGGATGGAAGTGTTAAGAGTTGTCACTTTTATCAAACTCCTTATTTCCTATGTTGTTTTTCTCAGTCTGTTAATTTTGTTTAGTGTTTTTAACACAGAACCTTCTAACTTGTATATATAATCTGTCCAATTACTTTACCCTATGGCTTATAAAGATCCCACACTCCCCCAGGTTACAAAAATACTCTTCATGCTTTAATATTTTTATGGGTTTACATATTTCATTTAATCATTGATCCACCTGGAGTGTGTTTACTATGAATAATTTTTGCAAAAAGAATAAGTCATTGTTTTTGTGTTTCTGTATCTATACCAAACTTCAGTTACTCTTTGATGGCTCCACAATTATATGCCCATATTCTGTTTTGGGAATGTAGATGAAACGTCGGAGAGGGCTACATAAACATATTTAAGAACAGGACTTCCAGGCTGGAGAGGGCTACATAAACATATTTAAGAACAGGACTTCCAGGCTTGAGCCTCTCTTTCTCACTCCACTTTTTAATAAATCTGTACTTTGCCTGTTAAAAAAAAAAAAAAAAAAAAAAGACTTCCAAAAGTAATAAAAAATAATTTAAATTCAAAATTACCTTGAAGCTTCACCAACTTAAAAATATGTAGCCTCAGGTATAAAGAATATTAATAGAATATTAATATAAATTCTTCTTAGAACTTACCAACTGATCTGTTATCCATTTTCCTTCCATAGCTTTTAATACCCTGTAGGGAGAAAAAACAGAAAACAAATTCTTAATAGAATTTTGTGAAACTTGGAAGTTGTAAAATCAACTTTTTAGAATAAGCTGGGTGCAGTGGCACATGACTATAATTCAGTGACTCAGGAGGCTGATGGGGGAGCATCACAACTTCAAGGTCAGCCTCAGAACTTAGCAAGACCCTGTCTCAAAACAAAAAATAAAAAGGACTAGGGATGTGGCTCCRTGGTAAATTGCCCCTGGATTTAAGCCCTAGTACCACAAAAATACATAAGGACTTAGAAATGGCTAGAAATACTAATGTGGGACTTGGCATTTCAAGTGTTTCCCAAATTCCTTGTTCTCCATAGTTCTCCAACACTGCCAAGAGCCTTACTTTAGAAATCCCCAATAAAGTTCCATGAAGTTCCTGTTGTCTTTAGTCATAATCAATAATTCCCAGGCATAATTAATGATGCTGTGCACAGTGGCACATGCCTGTAATCCTAGCAGCTGGAGAGATGTAGGGAGGAGGATCGAGAGTACAAAGCCAGCCTCAGCAAAAGCGAGGCACTAAGCAACTCAGAGAGACCCTGTCTCTAAATAAAATACAAAATAGGGCTGGGGTTGTGGCTCAGAGACCTAGTACCACTAAGTTCACTACTCCCCCACTGCCACAAAAAATAATGTCAGCTATAAGAGAATTCATAATCTAAAATATGATGCTTACTTCCCAAATGGCACGAACCAGCAACTCTAAAATTTTGTCCTATGGAATAAAGTATTCTATGGGAAAAAAAATGTAGTTCCTGTGATCCAGTAATAAAGAAAATTTGTTGAGTTAAATAAATTCAAGCAGGTTTCTCTAATGAAGAATATTTTATTTGTTCACCAATGTGTTTATTCAAATCACAGCAAACTCTCTTTAGCGGATCAGACCCCACTTTGGGATTCACTGGCAAAAATGTCAATTATTTTTATCTGCAGAATTAGACCTCCATGTTGGCCTACTTTAGGAAACCTTTGGAGAAAATCCCTATAAGGGGCAGTCACATTCTGAGATACTGAGCATAGGCTTTCAATATCCAAAATGGGTAAGAAAATAATTCAGCCCATAGTAATGAAGTAAATGTGAGACTTCACAGGAGAAAATTTAATGTTTTAAGATCTCTTCAAAGAAGCTGGGAATGTGATGGTGCACATCTGTAATCCCAGCAACTCAGGAGGCCGAGGCAGGAGGATCAAAAGTTCAAGGCCAGCATAGTCAATTTAATGAGATCCTGTCTCAAAAGAAAACATTTAGAAAGGACCAGGGATATGGCTCAGTGATGGAGTGTCCCTGGGCTCAATCCCTAGTATTGCCCCCGACACCCGCCAAAAAACAAAAACAAAAATTCTATTGAAAAGTGGAATAAAATACCTGAAATTGAGGTTGTCTTGAAAAATATGGGGCATGTGGAATCATGTTTAGATAATAGCTACTTCCCCAAAATACTAGAAGTAGCTAATCATCAACCTAGTAACATCAGAATAAATTTCAACTCTACTAGCTGAGATTAATGATGGAGAGAGAGGAAAGAGATTATTTCAAAAAATCTAAACTAGGCTGGATACAGTGGTACATGCCTGCGATCCCAGCTACTTGGGAAACTGAGTCAAGGAGGATCACAAGTTCAAGGCCAACCTGGGCAACTTAGACCCTTTCTCAAAATAAAAAGGATTGAGAACGTAGTTCATTGATAGAGTGACCCTGGGTCCAATACCTAGTTCAACAACAAAAAAAAAGAAAAATTCTACAGGACAATTCTTAAACCTAGGAGGTGAGAGATTCATTAGAATACTCACTAACATCTCAGATTCTCAGGCCTTGCCCCAGACCTACAAAATCAGAATGGCTCAGGATATGATTCTAAGAATCTGCATTTTTAAAAACTGTTATCTCAAATGACTGAATTCTGACAAAGATGATCTGCAGACCACACTTGGCCCAACACTGAACAGAAGAGGAGAGGTCAATGAAAGCACCAAGAGCCTATGGGAGCCACCAGTATCAACTTAAGTCTAAGCAAGCCTACTATTGTGAGCCCACATGCCACACGTCAATAAGAAAGGCATGGGGTTTGATTCATCCATCCAAACATTTGCCAAACACCTGGCATACCTACTGTATGCCAGGCACCAGGTCTGGGGCTGATGTTTTCTAGAAGCCTGATATCCCCTGCTTTACCTTTCTCAGATATACTCCTTTCCCAAACTTTAAAAGACTATGCACTAAACTAAGTAAGTTAACAAACATTATATCTGCATACCTTAGCAATGAATTAAACCAAGTGGTGACAGATAACCTTCACAAATCAAAAATCAAATTAAAAAACTCACTCTTTTTGAAATTCTTCTTGCTTGCTCTTAAGTTGACTTAACCTTTCCTTCTTGTCAATAAACCTGTAAGAAAAAAATTCAATGTTTTATTTAATGTTCATTTTTTTCACAGTTCATTGACATTATACAGGTCCCTGAGAGTTGATCATTTTTGTGAAAATGACACAGTTCTTAACATAACAGAGATCCTCAATGGGATGCACACAGCTGCTTGCTGGGTTTATAAAATGTTTACAAATTCTTTCTCCCAACAGGTTAAATTATTTTTCAAAGGATGCACATGAGAATACTAAAATAAATTTGAATTCAAGAAAATTGAGACTGTCTTTTTTTTTTTTTTTTTAAACAGTACTGGGGATTGAACCAGCACTTACTTCTGAGGTAATCCCCAGCCCTTTTTAAATTTTCTATTTTGAGACAGAGTTTTGCTAAGCTGCCCAGGCTGTCCTTGAACTTTTTTTTTTTTTTTTGGTAATGGTAATTGAAGCTAGGGGCACTTAACTACTGAGCCATATCCCCAGTCCTTTTTCATATTTAGAGATAGGGCCTCGCTAAGTTGCTGAGGCTGGCTTTGAACTCATGATCTTCCTGCCTCAACCTCCTAAACTGCTAGGATTACAGGTGTTTGCTACCATGCCCAGCTGACCTTGAACTTTGATACTCTTGCCTCAGCCTCCTAAATTGCTGGTATTACAAGTGTGTGCCACCATGCCTGTCTTGATGCTTCCATTACAAAAATAATTTTAATTATATAATTATCTACAGTCCCCCTATAGTGCAATAGCACATAAGAACTTCTTACTCCTATTTAGTATCCACTGTCCACCCTCCCTTGATACTTCCCTCCCCACTACTTTCTCTGACTCTTGTAATCACCATTCTACTCAATTTCTATGAAACTAACCTTTTTAGATTATAAACATAAGATTATGTGGCACTTTTCTTTTTGTGCCTAGCTTATTTCACTTAACACAATGATCTCCAGTTCCATCCATGTTGTTGTTAATGCTTTCTTCCATTTTAATATAGTTAAAAAACTTCCCTCTGCTTGTTTAGCTACAGCCTAAAATTTTTGATGTGGTATATTTTCATTATCATTTAGTTTAAAACTCCTAATTTTCCAGAAGGTTCCTTCTTTGCCCCATAAGTTATTTAGAAGTGTACTGCTTAGCTTCCAGATATATAGGTTTTTTTAGGTAATTTATTGTTACTGCCTTCAAATGTAACTCAGATGTAGGCACAGTATACTCTGAGACTTTAATATTTGATTAGTGTGTCTAATGGCCTTGCATATGGTCTGCCTCTGTGAAAGTTCCATTTGCACTGGAAACAATGAGTGTTTCAGAGCTATCGGGTACAATGTCTAAATTGTGGGCTACTTGACAGTGTAAAAAAAAAATCATTCAGATTTTTCACATCTGTGCTGGTCAGTATGGTGGCCACCATCCACATGTGACTACTAAGCACCTAAAATGTGTTCTGCTACTTAATTAGGACTTGGGGGATAGAAAGTATGACTAACAGCATGCAAGTGATTATGAATTGAGCAAACAGTGGGTCACTATTTTCAAGGGGACTGGGTAATGACACATGCCACAGTAATATGGTATTGAGTCCAAGAATAGGCTTTTGGCCATCTCCTGAATTCCTAGAATAAATGAAAACAATTTAGCAGAACCATCACATCCCTAAAAATAATCTGGACAAAGAAATCTCTCTAAAATATTATTTCTATAACCCTTACTTTGAAACATACCAAAGACATCAACTTCAAAATGTAAAGGATAAAATTATATAATTGTGACCCTACCGTTTAATAGTCACTGAAAATGTATGACATATTAATCAAAAAAGCAAATCAAGTAATATTATATGGAACAAGATTATAAATTTATAATGTGACAATTTAAATTAAATCTTTAGTTCCTCAGCTGCACTGACCACACTGCAATAGGCACCCTGACTTATTGGGACAGTATGGAAACAGAACAGTTCCCTCACCACATAAAGTTCTACTGGATAGCACTGCAAAGTCCATAAAGTGGCAGCTGCATGAAACAGTATTAGGTCACTCAGAAAACAATATGTAAACAAGCCCACACCCCCTTTAAAAACAAACATACTGATAGCAGTAGGAATAACAACAGATAACGATTTCTACTGGATCAAATACTTTGTGAGTCATGTTAACCCTCATGAAGGAAATTAAAAAGAGGTGGCACTAACAAAGCTAGCCAGCAGATGCTATCATGAACGTAGCTGGGTCCACATGACATGTSATTTGCTCACTTGTTACACTCATCCATTCTTCGCATTCTCCAACCCACCACTCATGGAAATGGACTCATCCCACCATCCTGTGTGTTTTCAATATGGTTTACAAGAAAGAACTAAGAYGACAGTCACTACATTCAAACATATTTTATCTTAAAAGGTGGGTAAAGAGAGGTGGATTTATGTTTTACATACTGTTTTGCAAGTTGGGTTTGTTTTCATTGAAGAGGTATCATTAAAGTTACATAAACCATTACCCTTTTATTTAAAGATTCTAGTTTTTGTGATGTCTTTTGAAAGAAATCTGCCAGTGAACCTGTTCCATACAAGGTACTTACAACATTATTTCCTGTAGTTTCTCTTCCAATTAAAAATTACCTTCCCGATGGGTGTGGTGGTGCACAYTTGCAATTCCAGCAAACTGGGAGGCTAAGGCAGGAATTGTGCAAGTTTGAGGCCAGCCTCAGCAACTTAGCAATATCCTGTCTCAAAATAAACAATTAAAAGGTCTGGGGGCTGGGGTTGTGGCTCAGAGGTAGAGTGTTCACCTAGTATGTGTGAGGCCCTGGGTTCGATCCTTAGCACCACATAAAATAAAGTTACTGAGTCCAACTACAACTAAAAAATAAATTAAAAAAAAAAAAAGGTCTGGAGATGTAGTTCAGTGGTAAAGTACCCGAGTTCAATCCCCAGTAACAAAAACAAAACAACAACAACAACAAAAAAAAAAACCCCTTCCATATCATGTACTAAATTCCTCCATACTTGTAAGATTTAAGGTTTTTTACTCCCTAAAAAATTACTCCCTAAATTGACTTTGTTGTTTCCTAAATTCTCCCATATTTTCAGGATTTATTTTTTCCTCATTAAAAAAAAAAAAATTACTCCCTTAGGCTGGGGTGTAGTTCAAAGATAGAGCACTTGCTTACCAAGTACAAGGCCCTAAGATTGATCTCAGCACCACCCATGCAAAACCTACTCAAAATTGACTTTCATAGTCCCCCTGCAGTAGGGACTGATGAAAATTAGGAGAGGGTTGGTCACAGAGCCCAGTGGTATGAGAGAGCACACAACCCAGCTCAGGTCTCAAGAGGGAGCTTTCTGGGAGTGATACCTTTCCAAGCTGAACTATGAGGATGAGTTATGGTTGGCCCTGTTAAGAAGAAGAAAGGCATTAAAGGCAGAGGGAATAGGTAATTTGCAAAAAAATTACTGTCTTGAACACCAAAATATTTCAATACACCAAGCAGGTAACAGGAATACAATATGCTGCTAATGAGGCAATGATGAGACCCTGGTTACACTCTGCTCCCTAGCTATAATCAAGGGGGCTGAGTAGATCTATCCACAGTTCAGACAACTCACATCAATCTATCCTATACTACCAAAACAACAGCACTAGGCATGAACTCTATTAGCATTCCATATTATTAATTCTTTACTAGGGATAATTAGCACCATAACACCTGCAACTTATTGAGCACCTACTATGTTACATGCCAAGCAAAACACCTTTCATAAGATAATTATAATCTCTCGACCTGCCTGCTCAGTCCTTTCACTCATCTTAGAGCCACATGTGTACCCTATGCCTAAAGTTATGGCAATACTTCAGTCTGATAGACACTACTAATGTGTTTTAAGAAAGACAAAAATGACACATTATATACATGTACTGAAATGTCACACTCCATAAATATGTACAATTATATGTCAAATGGACAAAAATGCATTAAAAGAAATTCCTCTGAGGTAGGCCTGGAGGTGCATGACTATAATCCAGGGACTCAGGAGGCTGAGGCAGGATCCCAAGTTTAAGGTCAGCCTAGGTAACTAAATTAGACTTTGTCTCAAGATAAAAAATAAAAAGGTCTAGGATGCAGCTCAGTAGTACAGTGCCTCTGGGTTCAATCTGCAGTATTGGTGATGATGGTGGTGGTGGTGGGGTGGGGGTGGGGGGGGAATGGCAAATGAAGGCCTGAAAAAAATATACAAAATCTTTGGAACTATAATGCATTTGAAGGAATCAAGGAAACAGATCAGAGATAAAAAGAGATTTGTCTGAAGGTGTCAGTCAGTCATAATAGCAAAATATTGGAAACAATTTTAATGTTCACTATGACAATTATGATGGCTATGAAGGAGACTAAAATATTTTATGGCAAAAGATGTATGTTTTTATGTCATGCTTTGTTTCAAGAAGCAGAACTATATACATGTGATATGATTCTAAATATATATGAATACCCACAATACTGAAAGGAAGTATAAAAAATATTAACCGCTGTGAAAATCTGAGTAATATCTATTTCTTTCTGTATGTGCTTCTGTACAAGTTTTTTATATTAATCATATATATCTTTATAAAAAGGTTAAAAAAAAGAAAAAGGCATCAATTAAAAAGTACTCATGCTCTCCTTCTGAGGATCAACCCCACTATAATATATATAATTCCCCCACTGCATCTAAAGTTCTTGAGACAGATCATACCCTTTCTGGTTTCTTAAGTATGGAGGTGGAGGGGGGCAAGTGATGAGAATTAACTTTCAGCTCAGTGGGAGAGAATTTCCCAGTCCCTGATTTTGGCACAGGTTGCTGTAGAGTGTTAAATGATACTTTCTCTGCTTCTTGGATGTGACCTCCTGAGCAGTTTTCCTCTGCCACTTCCTTCTGTCATGATGTTATGTCTCACCTCCAGCCCAGAAGTACAGAGTTGACCAACCATAGACTGAACTTCTGAAATCAAGGTATTAAGATTCATTTAAGAGATGCTCTCCCCACACCAGGAG